CCACTCTAATAACAATTTCTTTGTTGGAACGTGTGAGAAAATCCCAGAAAGGATTTTGAGACTCCGACAAGTACATTGGAAATTGTTGACAATCCTGGATAACAAACTTTGATCCAGCTGATCCAGCTTAAAGCACTTAGATCTAAGAGTAAAGAATAGAATACAGAGAAAGAAACAGATACAAATACAAATAAAGAAACAGATACAAATCTGTTAAATTGTTCATTTTTTTATTCACATAATATTATCATGCATGTTATTACAGTAGGTTCGAAAGTGAGCAACTTAGTTGCCATAATATATGAAACAACATAAACCGCATACGTCACTATTTTTACGAGCAATTTATTGTTTTCTGGAGTTAACATACATTCAACTTATAATATTAACACATTGTCGAGACATTTAAGGGAAAATAATTATTACACTTTGTGAGAGGAACCAGCTAGAGGTCCTATATAACATCAATGGCGTCTGTCCAGCTCAGGGGTATGGGGGTGGGGCGCCGAGGGGGGGGGTGGTCCACCCCGGGGCTGCACATTTTTCTTTATACTGAGGGGCGGCATTTTCGGCCGACAGCAGTTTTTTTTTTTTAAATAAAATGAAGGGGCGGCAAAAAGCTTGACCCGCCCTGGGTGCCACTCACCCAAGCTAAGCCCCTATTTTAGCTAATTACTTATTCTTAGCAAATTGTCTTCAGCTGCAATCTTACCGAGCATTTAAATTTGAAAAAAAAAAAAGTTCTTTTACATTTAGATGCATTAAAAAAAGTGTCCCATGTCCTCGTAATGTTAGGACTGCCCGTTACGCATAATGGTCTTGTTTTCATAAGTCGTTAAAAGTGTAACGACATGGCGGAACGTCGGGGCAACGTAAATTTGTCAGCGTCCTATGGTCAGAACAACGTCAAATACGATGGTGACATTTCTGTGACCACCAGTGCTGTGACGCTGCAAGTGTTAAACAAACACAAGGAAAAAAACGTTGCTGTGCATGTGAACGGGGCTAAGGGGTCCATCCTTTGAGTACGTACTACAGTTGAGTAAGTACTGCCATTTAGTAAGTACTACCATCGAGTACGGACTAAATGGATGGCCCCTAAGGTGAGACAATGATTTTAAAAAAAAAACAATACAGAAAGAAGATCAGCAAAGTTTACATGTCAGCCAAATGGCGTTGAGGTGGGGTGCGGGGGGGGGGGGGGGGGGGGGGGGGGGGGGGGTTTGGTGGGAAGGCGTTGGGGGGAGGTGGGGGAGGCGCTAAAATTAACAACGTAATTTTCTTTCACAAGTTATAAGACACCCATTAAAAAAAAATATAAAAAATTAACATTTATTTTTAAGTTTTATTTATCTATTGAACAAAGGCAGAAGTTATTTCCGTACATGAAATCGATATTTCAGCTATAGTGTTGTCTTCAAAAATGTCAGGATCAATAACTTGGCTGACAGTGCCCTTCGGTCGGGTCAAGGCCAATGGTGTAAATGTCTAGTCTTAACAAGTGAAGAAAAAAAAAAGAGTTGCAAGCAGTGTATACATAATAAGGTCTTGTGTCGACAACAGCTGTCGTCGTCATCTAAGGCGAACATTGTAACATAGGTACCAGCGGTACATCTCGACATTTGTATACATATTATGGTTTATTTTATAATACAGTCGTGTGATTCCTACACAACGGTCTTCCCTGTAAATTTTATTTTAAATTTAAAAACATGTCTAACTGAAGAATAAATTTATTTTTTTTAACTCCCAGATTTAAGAGTGTTTTTTTCCCAATTAATTTGAGACACGTACATTATGAATGCTTCTTATATCCTTTATAACCCTATGTTTCAGTTTATTCAGAAAACAAGCTAAAAAAATGAGGCGAGTAATAAAAAAGATGAAAATACATGCTTAATAATGGATACAAAGATATAGGTAGTACTTCTTATCGAATAAAAAAGATGAAAATACATGCTTAATAATGGATACAAAGATATAGGTAGTACTTCTTATCGTTACTGATACTACCCCCCCCCCCGCCCATTTATTTAATATCGGCATAGACTTATGAAGCCAGTGTACATAAACCAAAAATGTAGAATTATAAAAGTTCTAAAGTGGCATGACGCACATCTGGTCATTTTAAATCTTCACGGAAACTGTAACCTCATTCACCATACAAAACATTCGCTTATTTAGGCATTTTGAGTTTTTGATTGATCGCTTTATGCTGTATAGGCACGTTGACGTAATAGTAAGGCGTTTGTCGGTTCCAAACCCATCTGGAGTCTCTGGTGAGGAATGAGAACAATGGCATGTCGGGGGGGGGGGGGGGGGGGGGGGGGGGGGGGGTTGGGGTGAGGCAGCTTTTATGATAATGCTGAAGATGATATTCTCGCATTAGGGGTGCGAAGAATCGCAACTGACGGAAGTCGTCTTTCACGGTGAAGGTCACATCGTGAACGTGAACGCCAGGTCTTTTCGGTGTCACGTGATCAAAGTAAACGTCTCGGTTGAAGAGCGCGCCCAAAGTTCTTGTCATTTCAAGATCCTCCCTTGATCCATGATTAGGTATCATGGTAAGTCTTTTTTTTTTTTTTAGACATCATACTTCTGCAGAGAGAGAGAGAGTTAGATACCGCAGTGTCCACATCTTAAGTGCCCGTGTTTCTAAGAATAGACTGGCCGGGGGCACTGCTGGTGGTCGGGTGGGTGTCCGCAGAGAGCCGTGGGCGGATCAGCCTGACAGAAATGAGCTGGTGGTCCGAACCCCTCTCGTCGGCCCAGGAGACCCGTTTTTCACAATGGCTGGAACGGCGGGCCGGCTTGGGTTTGATCAGATCCGCCCCGCCGAACGAGGCGGGGCGCCGACTCCCGGCACTTCTTGGAGATTTCGGCATGTCCTCCACCCGGGGGGACAGAAGGGACTGTGTGGCGGCGGATGTCTTGGTCGATGGGGTCGTGCGAGGGGATGTTGACCGGGAGGTCGAAGAGGACTTATCAGGCGTAGGCGAGGAGCAGGGGGAGAGTTTCCTCACGGTCTCTGTGCTGGTGCCTCTTTTCGTGGAATCGTCCGACTTGGGCGTCTCTAGCCTCATTTTACCCAACGCTTCCTGAAACGGGAAAAAGGACAAAAGCGTGTTAATTTTTTTGTTCTTGAAATTAATTAACTGATTAATGCGTTCGAACTGACAGCAAGTGAGGCTTTGGTTTAGGGGGGGGGGAGCGGGAGGTGAAGGGGAAAGGTGAAGGAGGAGGGTGTATTTGTAGAATACTTAAATCCAAAATTCTGGCTAAAAATATCTCTCTATTATCTGAGGTCCATCAAATTCTTGATCATATAAGTTGTAATTACAATGGGTCCTTATCTCATCAACAACACGAGACTAGTTAAACGGAATATTTGTCTCTTTATAATTCTTTTTTTTTCCCAGCCTGTTTCTGTGACACTATTTATTTTGAAAATTTAATGTACTTAAAACGTATTTATTTTTGTCAAAGATCGATGAGATGAACCCATTTGTAGCTGTTTAAAGAATATCTAGCAGCCATACTCGCTGGCAGTAACCGTTTACAGATTATCTAGCAGCCATAATCACTGACAGTAGCTACTTAAAGACTATCTACCAACCATAATCACCAGCAGTAACTGTTTAAAGAGTATCTAGCAGCCACAATCGCTGACAGTAGCTTTTTAAAGCATATATCTACCAGCCATAATCGCCACCAATAACTGTTTAAAGAGTATCTAGCAGCCATAATCGCCAGCAGTAACTGTTTAAAGAGTATCTAGCAGCCACAATCACTGACAGTAGATTTTTAAAGCATATATCTACCAGCCATAATCGCCAGCAATAACTGTTTAAAGAGTATCTAGCAGCCATAAGCCCTAGCAGTAACTGATCAGAACAAGGATGCACGCTGAACTGCAACGTCTCTGTGTACTTACTCTGAAGGCACTGACAGTAACTGGTAAGAACAAGGACACACTGAAACGCAACATCTCTGTGTACTTACTCTGAACGCATCCGACGGCTCGGGCATGAAAGCTCTGATGCTGGGACAGGTGTCACGGCTGCAGAAATAGGTCTCGCAGCTGTTGTCGTCATCGCTGAGCGAGACCAAAATGTTGATGGGGTCGCTTGGCGCGGTTTTCAGCGTGTGGTCCACGCCGTGGTCCGCTGATCGCCGGTATGACGTGCCAGAGTCCGACTGCATTGTTGGCGCCATGGTTGACAGTTTGTCGCAGTTGTGATGACTGATGATTGTAACAGAAGCCGGCGCGATCAACAGCTACAGTCTCTTTGTGGAGAATCTAGAGATTGTATTGTCTTTACGCACACACAAAAAAGCGAATTGAGTTTACAAAAATTTAATATATCTCTTAAACAATTCCTGGTGTTTTCGAGTCCTGAAGAATAGAAATTCTGGCCAACACTTTATATCGAAGGTGTGGTTTAGTGTCTTTGTCTGGTCGCAGTGCGTTTTGTTGAGTGCGAATTCACGTCCAATGTTTGAGATCCTTGAGCGTCTCTCACTCTTATATAGGCGATCGGGACAAAAACACACCTTTGTTTACGTCAGAAGGGCTCGATAGTTCGACGGGGAGTTGGCTTTGCCTGGAAGTTGTGGCGCTGACACTGACTTGGCGGCAGGCCGCGTACCAGCTCAGCGGAGTATCCAGCTGACAGCAGCTCTCCATTCAGCCATCGATCTCCGATCACGTGACCGACTCGCAGTATCGATGCCACAGACGTCTGGAACAGAGAGGGGGTTTACTGCAATTTGACTGACTGCTGACATGACTGTTGGATTGGCGTATTTGACACATGTTTTTTTTTCTTCTTTTTGTGAATAAGTTTGTTTGGAGTTCTGGGGAAGAATCCTCTGATATCCTTTCCCACCCCCAATTCACCCACCCCGGGCCGCTAAAGAAAAAAAATTAAATTATAATTAAAACTCGTTAGATATTGGTTTGAAATTATAATTTGACTAAAGCTTATGAACATGGCAGTATCATGGACACCCTCGCGAGCTTATGGTGCTACTAAACCAGGGCACCACATATTTTGAGGCGGCCTTTTCGGTCCACCTATGGTTCTTAATTTTATTTTATATTATGTACATATTTTAGTTTTTCGGTAAAATTACGGGGCGTCACAAACTCTAGCCACGCCCACCCTATAACCTTAGAAATTACAATATTCCTTCGTGTTTTTCACAACTCTATTATTTAGAAACGTATTTCATTGTTAAGTTTCCTGTAAAATAAACAAATTTTCGGTTGCATATACCCCAAATATGAACCGTAGAAAAATAGTTGGACCTATGATAAAAGTTAGGATCGATACTCGCACCAATCCACCCCCACACGTTAGAACCCATAGCAAAAGAGTTGACCGAATTTTACCTGACTGTTGTATGTAGGCCAGATTGTTTTCTTTCTATCACATATGGGGGGGGGGAGAGACTGTCCTTGGTGTCGTAACCGTATTTTGTGATGCAATATTGCTGGAATGTGACTGGAAAACGACACATACTGCAACAGTGCCACATCTGTCATCAGTCAAAGGGATCATAATTCAAGCCGACCAACCTTTGTTCAGAGGATGGGTGCGTCAATGTGCGTCTTGGGTAAATGTGCGTCTTGTTGTTGTGTAAAAACCGACTACCCAGACAGGCTTCTATTCTGTAATAAGGAGAAGCCACCGATAAAGTTTTGCTTTAATTAATTTATTTAACCAAAGAAAAACGAAAAAAAACATAATTAGAAGTTGTTTTGATGTTTAGAAATACGATTACGTCATATGTTCTCTCTCCCCCACCCTTTTTTTATCCCCCCCCCCCTTTTTTTTCCAGTGATCATTTAAAGGAACCACGCGCTTAATACTTTCTCTTCCACGGTATTTGAAAAGGGCCCGGTTGTTTCGAGTGCAGAACCGTCGATTTGATCCATTCAACAGTCCACCGACATTGGGTCTTGACCCGATGCACTTGATGCTGACAGCACATCAGACCTACGAGAGTCGAATTGTGTGACAGTGTTGGGCAGCGTATCCAGTTACCGGAGTGCAACTGATTGAACTCTTCTGGAATAGATCAAAGTAATTAGATCTTTTGTTGGAATAGATCAAAGGAATTAGATCTTTTGTTGGAATAGATCAAAGTAATTAGATCTTTTGTTGGAATAGATCAAAGGAATTAGATCTTTTGTTGGAATAGATCAAAGGAATTAGATCTTTTGTTGGAATAGATCAAAGTAATTAGATCTTTTGTCGAAAGATATCATCGAGGACTTTGGTGTTTTTTTTCCCTCACATGAAAACGTTCGCTATCTGAAAAAATTCTAAAAATATCATTCTCCCGTCAGTCTTTGGTGACAATGGCGGTATTGACAGCCCATGTCTAACTCCGGTTATTTCCAGAATGAAAAAAAAAAAAAAACTCTGACATTGAATGTTTCCAATCAGGCACTTGAAATAGGTCAAAAACAACGCCCCTCTCTCCCCCCAGCCCGTACCAACCACAAAAAACTATCAATCGCTGTTCGGTCTTATCGGGCTTGTAGTTTGTGGGCACCCCGCCAAGGTACAAACATTGATAGTACAACTTCGATAATGCATATTATTGGGGGGGGGGCCCATGAGGGAGGGGGGAGGGATTTCGAGCTCGGAACAACAGTATCTCTCAAGCTGTTGTGTGATGTACCGCTAACCTTTTTTTTTTTAAATTATTAGAATGGATCCCACTTTTTAGATGGTAATTTTTAATCATTTCATTGATAGTACAACTTCGATAATGCATATTATTGGGGGGGGGCCCATGAGGGAGGGGGGAGGGATTTCGAGCTCGGAACAACAGTATCTCTCAAGCTGTTGTGTGATGTACCTCTAACCTTTTTTTTTTTAAATTATTAGAATGGATCCCACTTTTTAGATGGTAAATTTTAATCATTTCGACGTCCTAATTATTACCAAAAAAATAATATTATATTGATTTTATTTTGTTAAATTATTATTTCTTTAAAAATATCGTGTAAGGTCTCCTGCTCACTGCTTTATGATACATCGTCGATATGTTAATAATTGTGTTTTGCATGTTTTCATATCAAAAGCTTCGAGTCTTGTATGCTTGCGGAAAAACAACGAGAAGTTATGGCTGCACTTAAATTTATTTATGAACCATGTTTACGTGGAAAGTTAGTTTTGGGGAAAGTTGGTCTGTGGAAAGTCCTAGACCCAAAAAGTGTAGCCTGTTAAGGTTGATTGATACCAACTGCTTAGCTAGGGATGGGACCGCCCGGGGGGGAGGGGGGGGGCAAGTATTTTTCCGCAGGATTTCCACAAGAAAAAATCTGCAGTAGGCCGAAAAGGCCACCCTTAAATGTTAGAGGGGGAAAAAATCCGTCATGAGCGCGCCGCCCTTTCGCATCCCTTCTCAAATTTATACGTCACTGATTTGTCAATAAATATAGCATTAGGTAAGTTGTTGTTCTGTCTACTCGTCGTGTATTCTGTGTACGTTTTTTTTTGGCAACATGTGCCTTCGAGATGTGTTGACCATGTCTAATTTTCCAACAGATAAAAAAAATATAAGTAAACAAAATAATAATTGTTTTTCTTATTATATTTAATCAGTTGCGATACTCAATGGAGCGATACTCAGGAGCGAAAGTTTTTCAATGTGTAAATATCTTTGAAGTCAGAAAGTTGATAAAATACTAACCAATCAATCATTACAATGAAAGGAAAGCAGTGCAACCTTTTTGTATTCCGTGGGACAGGACTCACGATAAGCAAATGTATGCCACATATAAATAGGCATGCACTGGTATGGTGGGTCATGAGGAAGGGGGAGGCCCAAAAAAAAAAAAAAAAAAAACACCCCCACGATAGAAAAAAAAAAAAAAAAAAAAAAAAAAGGACTCACGATAAGCAAATGTATGCCACATATAAATAGGCATGCACTGGTATGGTGGGTCATGAGGAAGGGGGAGGCCCAAAAAAAAAAAAAAAAAAACACCACCTGGTGTCGAGAGGTACAAAGTGATGTACAAAAAGATCGGATGGAGTTGGAAAAATTTAGAGAATAAAAAGCAAGAGATCAGAGGGCGCGGAAGGATAATGTTAATGGCCTGCACTCAACTGGGGAATGGAGAAAGCCAAAGAAGAAGACAAATATAAAAAGTCGCGCCCACTTTCTCAATGAACATACAAAAATGTCGATAAAGGTGGAGAAACACACAACATAGACGTAGAACAGTGGTTCTCAACCTTCCTAATGCCGCGACCCTTTAATACCGTTTCTCGTGTCGTGGCGACCCCCAGCCACACAAATATTTTCGTTGCTTCTTCATAGCTGTAATGATATGTGTTTTCAGATGGTCCTAGGCGACCCCTGGAAAAGGGTCACGCGACCCCCCAAAGGGGTCGCGACCCACAGGTTGAGAACCGCTGACGTAGAACCTACCCTAACAAAATATATACATTTTTTTTAATCGTTCAGCAGATAAAGATTTTAAAAAATGAACTCTTTCTGTTCAAGTTATGTAAATCAACTGTACTTTGCCGTTGTTTTAATTCACTTCGTTAACTCAAAGAGATACTTTTACGAATTCCTTCCGCATTGCTCTTATTTATATTTAATTAAGTTATTTTGAGAGCATTAGCTTGTTAGAACTAGTCACACAAAAGTATATTGAATTAGTGCACTTTTGGTACACGAAACTTCCTCTTTGGCCTGCGGTAAAAAAATAATAAACAAAGCGTTTTTGTATTGATTGGGGCTATAAATAGAAGGCGATGGTTGTGATTGGATGCTTCATGCGGTCACGTGTGTCAATGCCCGAACGTGACAAACAAAACCCGTGCGCTGCCGTTCAAGGCCCAATAATACCTAGACTAGCAAAAAAAAAAACACAACAACTCTGGTACTCCGGAGTCGCCAGCCTGGGGATGGTGGCTCGTCCAGGAGAAGAAATCTGATTGCAAACCTCAACTGCCTTGACCTTGAGGTTACAATCCCCATGGTTAAATTTGAAGGTAGACAACCCAACCTTTAAAAAAAAGAAAGTCGGGGATTGTTGCAGTATGACACTGAGCCAGTGATAATTAAAGCAAATCTCTGGTGCAGTGATGATGCTTCCTTGGGTTCACCAATTGCGTCAAGGGAAAAAAAAAGGGGGTGGGGTGTGGAATCAGCTGACTGGGACCCAGATTATTCTCCAGGTCAGTGAAAACCACACCTTGATGGATGGAGGAAAAAAACAAAACAATAAGATATAGTTTTCCTATGAATGGTACTTGAAACAAACATGTAATTCAGTTTTTCTTTAAAAACGTGGTTGAATATACTTAGAAGCTTTTTCATCCTCTTCTTTTAATATTTGAAAATGTTACGTGAAGTAATGATCATCAGCTTTTGTAGCTAAACTGCAACATAAAGACCAATGGGGGAAAATAAGGATGGAGTGGCTCCGGGCTACAGGTCTATTCTAATGGACAGGTTGGGTTTTTTGTTCTATCTATAGATGGCGATGGAGGAGGCGTATTAAAAGTGTGAACATTTTCTGTGTACGAAACAATGTTGTAATGTTTAGTTGGCATGTGGAGAAGCTGTGTAGGCCACCCGTGTCGGGATGTTACTATTGATTTTTTTAAATATAATAAAACTCGCAAAGACAAAAGACCACCTGTCTCGCTTAGCTTAGCATTTTTTTTAAAAGTATGGGTTGGAGAGTTAGTGGGCTTGTTGACGCATCTCAGAAAGTATCACAATTGAATGAGATCATCATTTGATGGGTGTACTTTTACTGAAACGTATAATCAATAGTCAACCAGAGGCAAGGGTGGAGTACTCCGCTGGCGCTGAGTGGACGAAGTCACAGAGGGGAGCTAATGATGTGATTATTGTTCTATGTATAGCTTGTATGATCCCCATGGAAAGGTGCGTGCGTGAATCAAGTTCTGGCATCGATTATACCTTAGTCGCATAAATATTAATACTTTGACTGGGCCTGGAAACTGTATAAAGAACAAAATTGTCTTCGAAATGGCATACCCATCCCAACCCCCCCCCCCAACCCCCTTTTTTTTCCCACAGCACATTTTTTTTACAAAATATATATATTTTTTTTAAATTTCTGGTTTCGTAAGATCTTCTCAAAATACTTCGTGTAAAAAAAAAAAAAAAAAGATCAATTTAACTTATGTATTATAAATACATAGTGACAAAACCAATGCAGCTACAATGCAGGTTGCTTCTAGTGAAGTGATGAACAAGGCGCGATGTTCAACCCAACGATTTAAAAAAAAAAAAAAAGAAGAACTTTGCATGGAATTGTTTTAGGAGTCGTTCGTAAATTACGTCACGCCCGGGTTGGGGGGGGGGGAAGAATTTGTGACACTTTGTGACAGGGGGAGGGGGGTAAAAAAAATTGTGACGTCACACACTAAAAAAAAAAATCTAAAATTTTCTCAATTTGAAAAATCTGTATTCAATTAATTTTAAAAACATTAATTTGAGGTCGAAATTGCCTCAGGTATAATAAGTACCGTGAAAGTCAATTTTGAAAAATGACGCAAAAACTGCTGTGGCTATTTTCCATTGGCTTGGTGAGGACTTCGTTGTTTCACGTCACAGTTTTCTAATAACACAACATCTTAATCCATTATGGGGAAATGTTAAAGAATAAGATACAATCTTAGTTTAGTTATGAACATTTTATGTATGTTTTGATATTTTTTTAAGGTGTGACGTGACACCAAAGGGGGGGGGGGGTAAAGAATTTGTGTGACTTTGTGACAGCGGGAGGAGGGTCTGAAAAGGTCATTTTTAGCGTGACGTAATTTGCGAACGACCCCTTAGTTTGTTACGGATTTAATGAAGCGTATTTGGATTCTTCCAATTAAACAATGACCACCTTTCAGAAGATGGTGGAGCCCCACGGTGTCTGAACTCTTTATAGCTAGGCGTGGCATCCCAAAGCCATTGCTTGAAAAAAATATCCTTTATATCAACTTCGCTTTTGTTTCTGGCGGGCTGGGAGCAAAAATCATCGGACGGCTAATCGACCCACTTCCCGTTTCCTAACTTGGCACTTAGACGCGTTGCCGATCGCAATACATTCTATCACATTTTGCAGCCCAAACCCCCCAAAAAATCTGTTTTTCCTGTTTTTCAAGTGAAAGATAACATAAAAGTCTCGCTAAATGCGCTAAATGGGATCCCTTTTTTAAAATAAATGTCGCAAGTGCGCCTGGCACGCAATAAATTCTTTTGCCTTTTCTGAACATGTTGGTGAACTAAATCTTCTGTGTAAAAGCGGGAGGCAATTAGAATATTAATTTAGTTCAGCGGCGTGAAAAAAAAATGTGCAGTTGTGAGCCTTGGTGAAAGGGGGGGGGGGATAGGGGAGGGAACACTAATTAATATTCTATTAAAGTGCGTTACTTGTATGCACGCTATGTCAAATTGTTAGCCCTACCCCCCCACCCCACCCCCCCCCACCCCCCCTCACTGCTCGCTTTTAAATTTGATGAAGGGTTTATACGATGAACAGGTTTTTGAAGGTTTTTTTTTTTTTTTTTTTTTTACCCCTCCTCACTGCTCGATATTAAATTTGATGAAGTATTTATACGATGAACAGTTTTTTGAAGGTTTTTTTTTTGTTTTTTTTATTATTTTGGATGACATGAGTAAATGGACCACGTAATGACACATATTGTGGAGCATGCTATTTGAGAATCGATCAATTTCATAACACAATTTTTAAAAAAATTAGTTTTAAGGATGATATTGAAACAAAAGGTGCGCAATAAATGTCAGCACTACAGTACATCGGAAACTGGAGATTTCAGTTGTTGACCGTGATACCCAAACCAAAATGAAAAAAATAAAAAAATAAAAAAAGGATAGGGGAAACAATCGAATACATGAAGTTAATAAAAAGCAAATACAGTTGATTGATAGTGCAGCTTGTGGACCATCTGTCGAGGGGGTCGGGGGGGGTGGGGGGGTCAAGGGGGTGTTTTTAAGGAGTGCATAGTTTTAAGACAGGTCAACGTGGCTTCTTCCAGCAGCAGCCATGTTATTCCTTTCATGCAAGGGCGAGGAGGTAGTGCTGATAGAACCACCACTCCAGGTGTCGGGTGTTGCTTTAACCTGGAGGTCAATGTGTGTGTGTGTGTTTGGGGGCGTGGGGGGGGGCGAACAAGTGATAAAACGAAAGATAATTGGAGTGGGGGTTAATTGGCGCGCGATTCTCAAACGAGAATGTTTAAACTTTTGTCCCGGTCATGCGATGATCAGTAATAAAAAAAAACATTGTACTATTTAAATGTCGGACTAATTAGGGGAGGTCCTTACAACTAAAACTTTCCGGGGGGAAAATCGACAATAATTTAAGGAGTGAAAATGTAAAAATAAACTTAACAATTTTAATTTTGATTGATTAAGATATGAAGTGATGAAGCGAAAAAATAAGATCGAAGACAATCCATATTTCTGGATGATTGGGAAAACATGCACGACTAACATCCACTGGGTATTTTACAGGTAATGCAGCTATTTGGCTAAGACCAGGAGGCAAGATTAATGTCTGCAGAAGTTGGCATTGCTTCTATAAGAGACCCAGGATACTCGCACTCAAATTCAATATCCCATCCCCCTCTTAAGACTTTCGACCTCAGTTTCGCCCCCTCTATCTGTCGATATGCATTCCGTTATATAACGAACAACGTATTAAACGGATGTACAATAATTTGCATGGAACCACCTGAACGACGCCCCTGTGAACTCGACATCGGTCGAAAGCTTCAAGGCTGCCCAGGCATCAGCTAGGAGCTGTTGGAAAAGCAACATCATACCCCCAACCGTTGCAAAGATGCCAGTACATGGATGCAGCAACGAAACACTACCAGAACCAGAACAGTGGCAACAGAATGATCAAATTACAAAGAGAGTCGATCCCCGATGCTCTGCATAAAGACGAAGAGATTGACCGCAACTTAAGCATTGAATAAATCATGTCATAGGGGTTTTAAGACAAAACATCAGTTTTTTAAGACTACATCTTCCAGAGGGTAGGACCACGAAATTTTCAGAGAGAAAAGAGCATAATGAGTAGGTGCATATCATTCCCGCTTTCATCGCATTTGTGGTTGCCATGGTTTGGCTAAAGTGAACGTGGATCGGATGATATCCCTGTGAATTGAGAGGAAAGAAAATTATTCAGAGTAAAAGTATTTATTTTATTTTAAAAAACAATATTATTGGGTCTGTTTTAATGAACCCTACTTAACTTACTCGAATCGAGTTTAGAAAGAAAAAAAAAAGCAGACATGATTTTGGAACCAACTCAACTTGGTAAAAATAGGTGACAACCACGGGCAAGCTACTCTGTTTTACTAATATTTATTTGAACGTATCCCATATTTCTTGTATAAATATCTCAGGGCACAGCACGAAGCTTCTTCATTAATGAGATAAGAGTTATCAAACTATCTCGTGAACTATAATATAAAACATCTTTATTAACTCGGTATATCAAAACATCTTTATTAACTAACTATATGTGCTGCACTTTGGGCAAGCGTTCGAGTATTCTTGACTTCCGGTCACCAAGGCGAGTATCCGAATAGGGGCTCCGCTTCCGTCAAAAAGTTTCACGGGCGAGGCGATGATGGTCGCCCCAGAGGCCGGTATGCGTCCCAGATTGTTGACGTTCTCGAGTCCCATGACGTTGGCTTTGCCGACGATCTGATGGACGTCATACACTTCCGTCTGGCCGTAGTCGACAGAGGGCGTGTCCACACCTATCATGCTGATTCTCCTGTTCTTCAACAGCCAGGTGACGGCATCAGGGTGGAAACCTACAGAGTCAATTATTTTTAAAAATTTATTAAGATATTTTTAAGGATTATATTGAAAGTTTTCACATTAAAAGATGTGCCTTCCCCACCCCAACCACCGATGAAAAAAAATTATAATATTATTCCGTTCTATCCTTATAATTCCAACTCCTTACCAAACTAATTATAAAAAGTTTTGGACTGCAATAAAGCTTTAAAATAGATTAATAAGGCACGAACAAATTGTGTCAATATAACAATACAAGTTACGCTTTAATAATAAGTATACATTATACACACGTAAACGTTTCGGCACATGCCTTCATCAGTAAAAACAAAACAAAAACCACATTTAAATAAGTATAAATTAAATGTACATTATCTAAATATACATATCCCACCTAAAAAATAAAAATAAAAATAAGAGAGGGCGCTAAAACCAGATGCTAAAAATTTTAAAGAATGTGTTGTTATCGGTAATGTGAGTCCATGTGCCATATTTCAACTCGATATGTTGACGGGAAGTGGGTCAATTAGCCGTCCGAAGATTTTGCCCTTAACACACAAAAGCGAAGTTAATGTAAAGGATTTTATAATTATTATAAAAGGCGCATGTAAATTATCCGAGGGTCCAAAAAAAAAATGTAAGCAGTCGCTTAGGGTTTAAGAAAATGGTTTAACAACGTTGGTATCTAAAATGCCAACCGCAAAGTTCATTAACTATGCGTCTTCTTACCAGGGAAATGGAACGTTGTACTGTCGTTGGGTGTGGCCGTGTTGAACGTCCGGTAAGGGTCCGGGTACCTGACGTCCCAGCCAGACCACATGAAAACAAACGCACCGTTTGGAATGGCCCCATGCACGGACTCCCAGCTCACCAGGTCGGAGACGCTGTCGTTCGGCGAAAAAATACCCCAAATGAATACAGTACAGTGATTAAGAGTTCAAAAAACGCATTAATATTAGAAACTCTAATCGGTAACTCTCCGACATCAATTTTTAACGATTGGATTAATGAAGTTAAATAGACAAATACTCGTTTCAAACACGATTTGAATGGCTGACTTTATGAAGTTATATTGACAAATTCTCGTTTTCAAACACAATTTGAATGGCTGACTTTATGAAGTTATATTGACAAATTCTCGTTTCAAACACAATTTGAATAGCTGACATTATGAAGTTATATTGACAAATTCTCGTTTCAAACACAATTAGAATGACTGACTTTATGAAGTTGTACTGACAAATTCTCGTTTCAAACACAATTTGAATGGCTGACTTTATGAAGTTATATTGACAAATTCTCGTTTCAAACACAATTAGAATGACTGACTTTATGAAGTTATATTGACAAATTCTCGTTTCAAACACAATTAGAATGACTGACTTTATGAAGTTATATTGACAAATTCTCGTTTCAAACACAATTAGAATGACTGACTTTATGAAGTTATATTGACAAATTCTCGTTTCAAACACAATTTGAATGGCTGACGTAATGAAGTTATATTGACAAATACTCGTTTCAAGCACGATTTGAATGACTGACTCTGTGAAGTTGTACTGACAAATACTTGCTTCGAACACGATGTGAATGACTGACTCTGTGAAGTTGTACTGACAAATACTTGCTTCGAACACGATCCTACCTCAGCCTGTAGTCCGGATAGTTGAGCACTTTCCTCCTGATGTCCACTACGACCCCAGGTCCCACGAAACGTTCGACGGGTATCTGATGGACCCTCCAGCTGCCCTGCGAAAAGTGGGCCGGTGAGTCCATGTGTGTTCCAATGTGTTCAACCGTTTCAAATTTGTTGAGTTCCAGCCTAGAGTTCAAATGAAGATTGATGTGACGTATTGTTAGCGTCCACGTTTGTGTTGGAGATATAATAATTTTGAGTTATGGACATATTGAGAAATTATCATATTGAGACACATTGAGAAATGATGATATTGAGACATGGTCAGATTGAGACAAATTGAGAAATGATCATATTGAGACACATTGAGAAATGATCATATTGAGACATGGTCAGATTGAGACAAATTGAGAAATGATCATATTGAGACACATTGAGTCATAATCATATTGAGACATATTGATGCACGATCATATTTAGACATATTTAGACATGATCATATTGATGCATATTGAGACATGATCATATTGAGACATATTAAGACATAATCATATTGAGACATATTGATGCACGATCATATTGAGACATATTGAGACATGATCATATTGAGACATATTAAGACATGATCATATTTATACATATTGAGTCATGATTATATTGAGACATATTGAGGCACGATCATATTGAGATATTTTGAGGCATGATTATATTGAGACATTTGGAGGCATGATTATATTGGGACATATTATGTAGACAATCCTATGAGGAAATATGAGAGTGCAATCCTCGTACCGGTAAGTGCTGACACATAAATACATGGTCACATTTTAAAACACCATCACAATTATTTTGAGACTTTATTTTATATTTTCATTTCTTTTAAAATAAAGATGATGACCTATTAGACTCGATACGCCATGCTTAACCCACGATGACGTATTAAACTCAAGATGATCTTTTTTTAACCCATGATGGCATGTTAAACTTATAGTGACCTGCGTAACTCAGGGTGACCGATTAAAATCATGGTGACCTATAAAACTCACGGTGACCTATAAAAATCATGGCGATACCTTCATTTATATTGGTCTTTTAAAAAAATCAAAATTTACCTCAAATCGCCAGTGATAATATAATAAACATCACTATATCATATCACTATATCATATCACTATATCATATCACTATTTCATATCACTATATCATATCACTATATCATATCACTATTTCATATCACTATATCATATCACTATATCATATCACTATATCATATCACTATATCATATCACTATTTATATATATATATACATTTTGTACCATTTTAGTCATATTTTTTAAATATAAGATGGTGTTACTCACCTAGGGGGTAGACCCCAATGTTTGAAATGATAAGATGGTGTTACTCACCTAGGGGGTAGACCCCAATGTTTGAAATAATAAGATGGTGTTACTCACCTAGGGGGTAGACCCCAATGTTTTAAATAATAAGATGGTGTTACTCACCTAGGGGGTAGACCCCAATGTTTTAAATAATAAGATGGTGTTACTCACCTAGGTGGTAGACCCCAATGTTTGAAATGATAAGATGGTGTTACTCACCTAAGGGGTTAGACCCCAATGTTTGAAATGATAAGATGATGTTACTCACCTAGGGGGTGGACGGGTAGACCCCAATGTTTTAAATAATAAGATGGTGTTACTCACCTAGGGGGTAGACCCCAATGTTTAAAATAATAAGATGGTGTTACTCACCAAGGAGGCAGGCCCACGGGTTGAACCCCTCTGAACAATATCGTGAGTACAAAGTTCGGATCCCCGGGAAACCTTATCGCGTTGCTGTCCAGCGTGTGTGACAGATCGACCAGGTCGAAGCCGTCCGCAAAGCAGCCGACCGTGCTCCCGAGGCAGCCGAAGAGCGCCAAGAGGAACACCCACAATCTCTTATCACTTCTGACAGACATTTTGAGTCAAGGTTGAGTGGCGAATTCGTCCTGGCGTAACCTGCAAAGAAAACGCTGAAAGAAGTTTTATTTAAGAGAAAAACAAAAGAAAACAAAAAAAAACAACAACAACAAAAAAACAGTGAAAATACAGTCTTTGATTGGCCAACAATCCTATTTAATTTCATAGAGAGTAAGCGTTTCGTCGGAAGCTCTGAAGAAGAGATCAGCTAATTTGTTATACAATAAATAGTACAACAAGATATGTTCAGACTTGAACGCAGTCCCCAAATATATATTATGGTTTACTTCACGCGGCTTGAACGCAATCCCTTATATATATTATATATTATCTTTTATTTGTGTATGCTTCACTCCTTCGTTTGTCTTTGATGAGATCCAATAAAAAATATTTATTTTTTTTTAAAAAAGGGGGTGGGGTGTGCAATGTTGATTGTCAAACACTGAACTATTGGCTAAAATGGATATTTAAATGATCATCCTTCAAAAACAAAAATTTGATTTAATGTAACTAAATCCATTCACGTTAGAGAAATCTTAAAGAAACATTTTAGCATACCAATATTATGTTAAGCAACTTTTTTTTAATAATTAAAAGCTTACATTCAATTCAGCCTCTGGTCAATGCAACGCAGTTTATCAATAATTTTTATCCGGCAAAAACGCAACTCCTCTATGGTTCGAAGGACATACCTACCTACTCAAACTAATGTTTGACTTTGCAACAGACGCAACCATCAATGGCTTCACACTTGAATAAAACTGCATTACACCTGGGATTTAAGAATTTCTTTAAACCTACATTTTTTTTCCTTTTTTTTTTTTTTTTTTTTTTTTTTTTTTTTTTTTTTTTTT